GGAAGCCGCAAGCGATACGCATTCGGGTTGATCTTCTCTAAAATCTCCACCGGACGAATCTTACGGGCCGCCAATTTGTTGTACTCATGAGCGGGGAAACGATCTTTCGTCAAAACAGCCCACACGAAGTCCCCGACCTCGAACTCAACATGCCTCCTCCGCGAGTCCGCATGGCGCTTGTATGCCGCCGTCGCCTCCTCCAAGTGGGCACGAGCCGTAACATGAGTACGCTGAAGCTCCGCCATGAGCTCCTCAGCCTTGCGATCGGGCACCACCGTCGCCGGCAAAGCAAGCAGGTCCGCGGCTCCCCGTGGCCGAACGGAATAAACCACCTCGAAGGGTGAAAAACCGGTAGCGCGGCTCACGGCCGAATTATGTGCGAATTCGGCCTGTGAAAGCCGTTGGTCCCAGCACTTCAAATTTTCACCAACCAAACACCGCAATAAATTGCCGAGAGAGCGATTGACAGCCTCTGTCTGGCCGTCTGTCTGCGGATGATAAGCACTACTGAAGGCCAACTGGGTATTGGCCAGGCGCCACAAACTACGCCAGAAAAAACTCAAAAACCGAGTGTCCCGATCAGAAACAATAGAAGACGGAAGACCGTGCAAACGATAAACCTCTCGAAAAAATAAGTGCGCCACATGCACAGCATCAGTGGTCCGTTTGCACGGAATGAAATGCACCATCTTAGAGAAACGATCGACCACGACAAAGACAGAATCGTGACCACGTTGCGTGCGCGGTAAGCCAAGGACGAAGTCCATACTAATAGCACACCATGGCTGAGAGGGAATGGGTAACGGCCGATATAGCCCGGCATTGGTAGCGCCGCCCTTAGACACATTACAAACACGACATCGAGCAACAAAACGAGCAACATCCCGCCTCAAAGATGGCCAAAAAAAAGAACGACTTACCAGGGCTATCGAACGGTCACGGCCCACGTGCCCCGAACCGTGGAGGTCGGCCACCAACTTGACCCGAAGACTACAATCGGGGACACAAAGACAGACGCCCCGAAAAAGAAAGCCGTCAGCCACCAAATAATCCTCGCAAGGGCCCGAAGCTAGCCGAGTGAGAATAGGACCGAAAAACGGGTCTGAGGCGTACAGGTCGCGAAGGAGATCGAACCCCACTACCGAAACTCGCAAATCCGTGAGCACCAAAGACCGCCGGCTCAATGCATCAGCCACACGATTAGACGTCCCCGAACGGTGTTTTAAGACGAATGTAAACTGCTGTAAATAAGATGCCCACGTCGCATGGCGGGCCGAGATATTGTCCTGCGAGGCCAAATGGCGTAAAGCTTCATGATCAGAGAACAAGATAAATTCCCGCTGGAAGAGATAATGACGCCAGTAATGGACGGCACGAAACACTGCATAGAACTCGACATCGTAGGTGCTGTACCGAAGGCGAGGACCCGAGAGCTTTTCGCTAAAGAAGGCAACTGGACGTGAATCCTGGCTCAACACCGCTCCAATGCCGACCTTGGATGCATCACAAGAGAGCTCAAAGGGGCGACTAAAATCAGGCAGTACCAAAACCGGGGCTGTTGTCAGCTTAGCTTTGATAAGAGCAAACGCCTCAGCAGCCTGCGGTGTCCAGGTGAACGTCTTCCCGGTAAGACAACTCGTAATAGGAGCCGTAATGGAGCTGAAATGACTAATGAAACGCCTATAGAAAGATGCCAACCCATGAAAACTACGGGCCTCGGTGAAAGAGGTCGGAGTCGGCCAATCACGAATGGCAGCGATCTTACCATCATCAACACGAATCCCGTCAGCTGAAATAACGAACCCTAAGAATAACACCGAAGAGACCATAAAAAAACACTTCTTAGGAGCCGCATAGAATGACTCAGCACGAAGAATCAACAGAACGGAGCGGACATGGTCAAGGTGCTCCTCCACAGATCGACTATAGATAAGTATGTCATCGAAATAAACGACGACACACTTCCCGATGAGATCCCGCAAGGCCTGATTCATCACCCGCATGAACGTACTGGGTGCATTAGAGAGACCGAAGGGCATAACCAGCCATTCAAACAGGCCCTCCCGGATCTTGAAAGCAGTCTTCCACTCATCTCCCGGTCGAATGCGAATCTGATGGTACCCACTTCGCAAATCCAATTTAGTAAAAACCGATGCCCCGTGCAACTGGTCTAAGAGATCATCGAGACGTGGAATTGGAAACCGATAGCGCACGGTTATCTTGTTAATTGCCCGACTGTCAACACACATACGCCAGGACTGATCTTTTTTTGGAATGAGCAATGCCGGGACAGCACACGGACTAAGACTACGTTGAACGACACCTCGTTGAAGCAGGTCCTCTACCTGACGCCGTAGCTCCTCGTGTTCAGCTGGACTCATACGATAATGCGGCCTGTTGGGAAGCGAAGCGCCCGGCACCAAATCAATATGGTGTTGTATGTCCCGCAGAGGAGGGAGTCCAGATGGCAGCTCATCCGGAAAGACGTCAGAAAACTCGTCCAATAAAGACTGCATAGTGGCGGGAGGACGATGCTCGATGGACAAATCCAACCCCACAAGAAGAAGAACAACCGGCGCCCCGTCCAGTTCCCGAACAAAAGCCGCTCGAGACAAAAGAATAGGTGAGGAGGGAGCCACCGACACTGGCCGAGGCGGGGACGGATGCAAGACAATCCGAACGCCGTCACTCACGAAGCTATACGTGTTCATCCGACCGTCATGAGTAGCCGCCCTATCAAATTGCCACGGTCTCCCCAAAAGAATGTGACAAGCGTCCATGGGAACGACATCACACCACGCCGAGTCCTTGTATGTAGCCCCTATCGAAAAAGTCAACAACACACGGCGGTCCACAGTTATATTGTTGCCACGTTGAATCCACGCTAACGTGTATGGATGAGGATGTGGTTCTGTAGACAAATGAAGTCGCTCTACCGCGTCCTTGGCCACCACGTTCTCGCACGAGCCCGAGTCAATAATAAAACGACATACTCTACCGTCGACAGTACAAGTGGACTCAAAAATGTTGTGGCGCTGGACTGAGTCATCCGAAGCTACCCGGGGTGACAAGCAAGAACGGCGAAGAACAAGGGCACGACCGATATCTCCGTTCAAATGTTCCTCGGGCATCTCCGGTTCTTCGTCAAAAATAGGGCCTGAATCATAAATATCACCCTCGTCCACGTCGTTTCCCGTCCCGACAATTAAGTCCCGTGATCCACCTCGACGAGGACAAACAGCCTGCCTGTGGCCCGCTTCTCCACACGCGAAACACCGTAAGCCGCCGCTCTGCCGAGAGCCCGCCCCTCCAGCCTGTGAACCGACCCTAGCCGCCACGGATGGCAAAGTTGCTGAAGGACCTGCGCTCGCAGGCCCGGTGCTGCGATCGGGACCCATACCGTCTGTCTGTTTTCCTAAGCTCGCCGCCGAACCCAGTGACTGAAACACGGTCGGGCCCGTTCGACGCGCTCCTTGCTGCTCCACAAGAAGAGCACGCTGATGAGCATCAGACACGGTTTCCGGATTAAAGAGGTTGAGAGTATCTCGGATCGCCAACCGTAGGCCGCCAATATAGCGAGAAACCAATTGTTCGTTCGTCTCTCGAATATCCACGCGATTGAGAAGGCGGTAAAAATCATCAGTATACTCGTTCACAGATCGGGCTCCTTGGCAAAGGTTCTGAAGCTGCTGGTACATGGTGCGAGTAAAATTAAATGGTAGAAACTCGCGTTGTATATGCTTGCAAAATTTACCCCACGAAGAAACCCTCAGTTTCCCGAGCCTCCGCCGCGTTTCCTTGTGAGTCTGCCACCACGCGGCAGCCCTACCGCGCAGACGTGTGGCGACGAGGCCCACACGACGATCATCCGGCACTTCTTTGTACTCGAGGATAGAATCTACCACGGCCATCCAATCGAGAAACTCCGCCGCGTCGAGACCGCCCGTGAACTCCGGAATATCGATACGAAAGGAGGCTTCCCAACGGTGGTCGCACCTCCTATCTCCTCCCGCTGAGCCCTGCGGTCTCCAAACGGATTCTCCTCTGACACGGTGTCGGTGTCATCATCGTCATGGTCCTCTTCGCCGAACGATGGTGGTGAACGATGGCGGGGCGCCCCGCCGAAGCCTCGTCCGCCTCGACCACCGCGTTGTCCCCCGCGACCGCCGCATCTGTCAGCCGTGTCGCGGTTTTCTCGCTCGCCGTTCAGTCCGGTGTTGAAGGCCAGTGTCAGATCCTCGATCCTCGAAGTGAGATCGACCATCAGACGGTCCGACGCCTCAGCCCGTCGTAGCAGGGCCTCGATCGCGGCGTCCCGTCTATCGTCAACGTCATTGCGCTTCGGAGGCATCTTGGAACGTACCTGGTCTCTTGATACCAACTGGTGTAGCGCAGCAGACGAAATAGGGAACGAGATGAAAATCTCAAGAGAATTCTTATTTCTGTTCGATAAAAACTAAAAATGAAAGAACGTACAAGCCAGAGAATAAAAGAGAAGTTCCCTAACTTGCTAGGTAACTAAATAATTATTTCCCAAATAATCTAAACAAACTAGATATGGAATAAGAGCATAATAAATGATAGAATAAAAATAAGGATAAATAATCATATCAAAGCCGGAAGACGGTCGTAGGTGTCCATAAATGCCAATGCGAGCTCGTCTCCATCATAGCTTCAATTTCTTCAACTTCATTGATATTCGGTTTTCAATTGGGTTTAATGCACCAAACCCCCCTGTATTATACGAAATCTGCGCGTTTCCCCCCTGTATTTTAAAAATTGCGTCAGACCTCCTTTTATTAAGGTTTTGTATGCGCGAAACACCCAAAATTTATCGCGCTTACAAAACCGTAATAAAAGGGGGTCTGACGCAATTTTTAAAATACAGGGGGGAAACGCGTAGATTTCGTATAATACAAGGGGGTCTTGTATATTTTACCCGTTTTCAATTATTCACTGAATTAAAACGTAGTTAGCAAGTTGGGTTTATAGCGTACCCGATTACCATCCAGATCAAACTCTTTTCCAAGGGATTCCATGACTAGCTGCTGCAAATAACGACTAAACAATAATAGGCTGTCCTTATATGGAAGGACAACCATATCCTGCACATCCAAGAAACAGAGGAAATTTTCTATCAGCCAAAAAGACATTTCGAAAGGACATAAATGCATATATTTATCATAATTTATCTAACTGAAGTAACGCAAACCTTGGATCCCACTCCATCAGTCGCCCAATACCAACACATAGCGAGCAAGGCTGCTGGATTATCTCTTACCTAAAAAACGAAAGGAAAAAAAGTAATGCAAAAAGGTACTTTTATGCCGCCCCTCTATTTTTTCCATGAGATATGTTTAGCATTTTCACATACAAAAAATACACATTAGTATCAGCAATGGCATGAATGCAAGAAAAATAGATACAAGAAATAGGTAGATGAAGATCAATAAACTCACACATGATTGAGTTCTAAATAGCATATCGATTTTTATCATGGACATATTCAAATCTTTAAAAGAAATTATATTAGCACAATCACAAACACCATTTTCGTAAAATGTTACACAGTTCCTCAAAAAGATGAAAAATATATACTTACAAGTGTTGTCCTGTTGGCTTCATCCATCAATGCAGTACCAGCAAGCATTTCTTTAATGTCAATTCCCTGTTAAATCCAGCTAGCATCATTTCTATACATGAAATTAAACAGCATTTAAGAAAACATAATTTGGGTGTTGAAAACTAAAAAACCTGAAGTGCAGCTGCAAGTAAACCAACAGCAGACATCTCAGACGTTCGGCCACCCACCCAATCAAACATAGAAAATCTAGCTAACCAGCCCTCGATACGTGCTGTGTTATCAAGTAATGAATTCTCTTGTGTGATTGCAACACCCTGTGGACAACACTATGATCAATTGTCATTAAGAGTATCAAAAACTCAAGTGATGTGGGCCCACTTGGACAGATGTGATTATTTCATATTAATTGTGTACAAACAACAAGGTGGCATATTCTGTGGCTTCTCAAATCAATTTTAATGCAGAGAAGAAATACCTGAGATCAAGACCTGTTTTGAAAAATCCAGGTCAGCTTCACGGAAGGCCTTCTGAACTTCAAGCAAGCCGTTTCTTGTTTCGGGGGTACCTCCACTCTATAGAACACAGAAACTTGCTAAAGACTTCAAGTGTGCAACATATACATAGAAATTATCATTAAAATTAATCAGCTTGGAAAACGGCTCAACAGATACCTTCGAAACCACTATGACTAGTGTAGTCGCCAGCTCACTTCCGAGCTGTGCTATTTGATGATCAATTCCAGCTGGGTCCGTATTGTCAATGAATCTTATCTGAAAATGTTGTGGTGAAAAAAATAGGGAAAGTGAATAATCAACGTGTGTACTTGATGTACTTGATAGCACAAGAAGTATGCGTACACTCAATATTAGACTCAAACAAAAAATGTGAAGTACCTTAAGAGGAGGATTATCGGGTGCCAATGCCTCCGCAACAAATTGTGGCCCGAGAGCTGAACCACCGATTCCAATAGAAAGGATTTGCGTAAAATTACCCTTTGAGTGTACTGCGCGTACTGATGAGCTGTCCTGCCCGTACTGCCCGTCCGTATACACACAGTCTGTGTGTGTCCGAAACGTCAGAAGTGGTTATCACCACTCTTGCTCTGCACTAATGTGCTCTCGCCGCGTGTCCCTCTGAGCAGAGGGAGATTGTTCTCTGTACATTCCGTTGGGATCTTCTAACGTCACCCACGCGCTTCCTCGCGTTCAAGGCACGCTCTCGACTGCTCTTCACCTGTTGAGTGCTCGATCTGATCGAGCCCCCCATCGCTAGGTCGATCCTCGACCAGTTCTGCTATTCTGCTCGATCTCTTCCCTTTTGGTCGATCGTCCTTCGACCAATGTGGTTTTCTCTACTTCGAGCTTGCCCGACCGATGTGGTAGATCGGTTTATTCTTTAGCTATATAATATCCCGTATCAATACGTTATAAACATATTAAACTCGTTATAAGTCTAATTTTGGTCATTTTTAAGTAAAAATAACGAATTTACAAAGATATTACATCATCTTTCTATTTTTTAATAACAAAAAAAAAACCAAGTATTGTTATTTCAAAAAAAGAGTTTCTTTATGAGTGTTTCGACGCTCTAACACCTTCAAACTATCGTTCCGATGACATGTAACATTAATATACATGTGTTATCAAGTAATTCAATCGAAAAAACCATAAAGAAAGCGCGTTTGTGTCAAAAAACAACTATAACGACTGTACATTCCTTATAACGAACGTACATTCGTTATGGTTGTTTTTCGACCCAAACGCGCTTTCTTTATGGTTTCTTTGATCGAATTACTTGATAACGATTGTATATTCATGATACATGTCATTGGAACGATAGTTTGAAGGTGTTGGAGCGTCGAAACACTCATAACGAAACTCGTTTTTGAAATAACAATACTTGTTTTTTTTTTGTGAAAAAAGGTTAGATCATGTAAACGAAGGAGTTTGATTTCGAGATCCCGGAATTAAAGCGAGTAACATTTTATTGATTTTATACAAAAGTTAAAAAAAAAAACAAAAAATAACATGCTCGCGACAGCCTATGCGTCGCGGGAGTGACGAGGCGACGCGAGCTTCTGCAGCTCCATATTTCGTGTCGCGCCCGCTACGTGTATCGTGCCAGCGACGGTAGCAATTGTCGCACCCGCAAGGATGGTCACGCCCGCAACATACTGGACAACTTTCTGTCCGAAAATAACACCATAGTGTCGCGACCGCGATACACGTCGCGCCCGCGATGACCTGGGAAGCTCTCTGCCCAACCGATCTGTAGTTTTAGTGTCGCACCCCTGATAGTTGTCGCGCCCGCGATAGAGATAATGAAGATACCTTCGTTATTTCATACTTAATAATGACAGTACTTTCGTTATACTTATATTTCTAGCCTTTTTTAATGTAATACTACTATATAATACTATAAAACGAGACTATAGTCGTTTGTTTCCAAATTTCCTATAACAATTGTTCAATAAGTACATTAGGTGAATCAATTACCCTTAATATTTTCAACAATCACTACATTGGATACACATAAAAAATTAAACACAAGACAAAAATATAATTTCAAGATTTAGCAACTCAGTTTAATGAATTGGAGAACACATCAAAAACAACAAACAAAAAGTTAAAACACTATATGGCCGAGTCAAAACACTATACAAAAAGATCAAAACCTTATAAGTCAAAAGCAATACACTATTCAAAATATAACTTCAAATTGCTTCATTGAGGTTTTATCTCTGGACACCTTCCACGATTATGACCGACTTTGGAACACCTACTACATTTACGAATTTGGCGAGGTTTAGTAGTAGTTGATTTTCTTCGAGCCTCACCTGCCGATTTTTTCCTTTCGAATGTAGGTCTGCCCCTTGGACGTCGTGATGGCGGCGGCAATATCAAATGCAACATCATCTAAAAAAAATGGAAGATAAAATGTGAATGCGACAAAAAATATGAAAACCAAAATGAAACCAAAATGCATATCAAAGTATAATAACGAAACTACATTGGGGTATGTCATAACCAAACTACATTGGGATATGTCAAAACGAAAATACATTCGTTATGTCACAACGAAACTGCATTATGATATGTCATAATTAAAAACAATGGGATATGTCATAATGAAATTACATTCCTTATGAAATAAACATCAAACAGCGGATCTACATTTGCTATGAAATAATTAGATAACAAATCTACATTCGTTATGAGATTTTCTTCATATAACGAATGTACATTCGTTATGAATACATTCGTTATGAAACAACATAACGACTGTACATTCGTTATGTACAAAAAAATTGAAAAGAAAACCTCAATGCCACAAAAACATGATAAATATGAAACCAACATGTTTATCAATCATAAAATATGAACCAAAATGCTTTATCTCTAAAATAGCAATAAACCCTAACATATTTTAATTGTTGATCTTCCACCATCACCATATTTCTTTTGCAATATGTAATCCAAAATTTATGTGTAATGATCATATTTTTCTCACCTTTTCAAGAGAAGAGAGGATGGAGTGAGAGAGAGGAGCAGAGTGAGGGGAGCAGAGCAGAGCCGAGCGGGAGAGAGCGAGGAGCTTTCTGTTCGATCAATTTTTTTTTTTATTTTTTTATTACAAAATTGGTAAGATAATAGAAGAGAAGGTATTATAGACATTTTTTATCTAAGGTTATTTTAGGTATATCAATTTTTAATTTACCTTTATTTAATGGATAGGTTATTTAAACAAAAATCTTTTTCAAAGGGTCATTTAAATAATTTGATGGTTTGACCATCCCCTTTAAATAAAGAACCAAAGTGTGTGTATGTGTGTGCTGAGTTGAGTGTGTGATTTGTGTGTGAGAGATAATAAAGCTGGTGGTTGAGGTGGGTCCCATTAGAAGAGATGGAAAATATTGTAAGGACTATTATACCCTTAATTATTGGTCAAATGCACTTGTTTGACCACAATAGTTCAAGTAATTACCAAATTGTCATTACTGATTGACCATTATTTATGAAAGTTTGACTTGATCATGGCCATTTTTTTTTTTTCGAAACGATAGATACTATTATAAATCAAAATGCACAAATATGCGAATACAAAGCAGCCAACGGCTGAAAACAGGGAGGACAGGTCAGAAGACCGCCTAGATCCGCCTCTAGCAAAGCTAGAATAACAACACACAAACCAACTACACAACACAAAACTATAAAAAGATCCCAACGGGATAATACCCGAGTGTCGGATCCCAACAGGATAATAATTTGACACTCGGGCTTACAGGGGCCAACGACCCAAACCAAAAATACATGCCCTAAACGATACAATCACACATGATAATAATGAACGAAAAGCCACATAAAACAAACAAAAAAAAACACTAAGTAAATCGAAAAAAGCCCTTCCTAAGCAGCGTAACCAAGCTGAGCCAGTGGGTACCAAGTCGACTCAGAGTGAGTCCCACAGCCAAAAAGAACCGACCCAAAACTGCCCAGCACCAACTCGGTGGCCTAAACCACCTGGAACCGCTAAGATCCTCCACCCACCACCGCGCCCTCCCGTCCACCACCACTGGCCGGAAGATGAACCAATGGTCCTCCCTGACCCAACGCCAGAGTACAAGGGGAAAAGGCCAAGAACCGCGGTAGAGCTCTAGTCATCCGACAACAACGCTGCCGAACGACCGAGGAACCACATACCCAAACGAAATACACCCCAGCCACTACCTCCACAACCCAGGTAGCCGCCGGATTGAGCTCGAAACGTCGTCGGAGCCGAAGACCTTCCGAATCCAGAAGCAAACTTGAGAGCGACGGCCATAGACGACGCGATTTATCGGGGAAGGGCCAAGCAATCGAGGGCCGACCACCAGCTCATACTCAATCGGCGCTAAGGAAGGCGTACCGGCACTGATTTGAAGGAGACCGCTAAAGATTGAGATGAGGGGAAAGGGGATACGGCGCAGAGCTTAGGGTTTCGTATTTTTTTATCATGGCCATTGACTTGATAGATCTAATGGTCTAGGTTTATTCTTATCTCTTTCACTATCTCTCTTTTCATATGATCCCTTCTCTCTCTTTATATATATATTTACAATTTATGAGACTGAATCGTTAATTATAATAAGGAGAGGTGAATCTAAAGAGTTTATACATGGTTAGCTATTTTATTATTTCAAGTGATTATTGTAAATTAGAAACAACTCGGCTTAAAATCAATGAGTTATTTAAAACTTAATTTACGAAATAGCTTAACCACATATTAGATTTTATTTTGTTCAAAGAGAACTCGTGGTGATTTCTAAGGTTATGGTGCAATTGTCTCAAAGTTTGTTAGCTTTTAAAAGCAAATATGGTAATATTAGTCACTTGAAATTTGACGTTAATTAGAATTTAAAAAGCTTATGACTTATAAAATTTTATAACTAGCCCATCTAAACACGTCCTCGGGTTTGAAAATCATTTTAATATAATTGATAATGACGTTAAGAATTTATAAATTATTTTAAGAAATATGAATGAAAATATCAGAATTAATTAAGGTGAAATGTTGATTTAATATAACAATAATAATCATATTAAGTTTGAAACTCACTAAATTTCAATAAAGTAAATGTGGAACTCGAAAAACAAGTGTGTCCATCCACACCTCCATCTAACACTAACATCCGAGCAATAAAGTTATACTTCTAGAAAATATTGTTCTCACTACCCACCGAAATATGAGATTATCTTACTTGTGTTATTGATTAAATTTGATGGCCTTGTACACAAAACTCTTGCCGTATATTGACTTGACTGTTTGGGGCGGTTAGACCAAACCCAGAATTGAGTAGCGTGGTTGCGGTTCTCGATAACGCTACCGTTGTTGCCTATTCCCATAACTGAGGACGAAGTGCTCCAAAATGACTGGGTCGTAGAATTAGTGTATAATCGCGATTATGACATTTTCTGGGCGGAAGCCCATAGCTAAGGAGTTTGTCGAGCCCGGATAAGATATAAGGTTGGCTTAGGACTGCATAGTCCATACTGGAGCTTCGGCTCAAACTTAGGCCAAAGGCCTACATTGTTGGGAGTCACAAGGAAGATCCTAGGATCAGGTCAAACCGACTCGTTCCGAAGCTAAATTGTTCTGCTAACATGTTGATCTCTGCTACATTAAGTAAGTTATTTTCAATCCATGGGGATTATAATCACTGCATTATTTCATTGATATATTGCACCTGTGAAATGTATATTAGTGTTATAAGTAATCTAAATTTTTCAAGTATGCTACCTTATTATGAATACCTTAATAATTATTACTGTTTCNCAGCCACCAGCTGATTACAAACAGCCAACAGCTGAATACAAGCAGTCAATAGCTGAAAAATTGGGAGGACAGGTCAAAGACCGCCTAGAACCGACCCCAACGGGGTAAACTCAAGAACACTAAAAAACACACAAAACAACAAAGAAAAGACAACAACACAAGACCCCCACAGGGTAATTCCCGAGTGTCGGACCCCCACAGAGTAATGAAAATGACACTCGGGTGTACTGAGGCCAACGGCCCAAACCTAAAACACAAAACAACACGGACACAGATACAAACAAACACATAAAAAACCAACACTACAAAACCAAAAACTACTACTACAGCTACTACAATCCTTCCCACAACAGGAAACCTCATCAAACACAACACTGGCGGTCAAGGCCCAGGACCCGATTCAGAAACTGCAAGAGGATGCCTAACTGGGTCAGGTACCATCGGACCCAACCTTGGTCCAAACGAACAACACCACAGGACCCAGAAACCCGCACCTCTGAAGGCCTCCAAGCTGTCCACACCGGTTCGGGCCGAGATGGCAACAACCTAGCCCGAAACCAACATCTCCAGCCAGACTCCTCCGCCCGACGACCTCGAGTGCACCCCCGCAAGCGACCCAGTGCACCAACACCGGCGCGGACGTCGATTGCACCTCCGTAGACCACCCGAACTGAGGAGAGAAGAAAAGCCCGAGGCGGCATCTCCACCCCAATCCCTAAATCGGAAAAATTGGGGCCGCAACCACCATCCAGAGAACGCCGGAGGACCGCCGAAGCGAAGATTCCGGGGAAAAAGATAGCTCGCCACACCTTCCCGGCACCAGATACGGCGAAGACCAGAACTCGGAGCGGAGCCACCATCTCCCCGGCGCAGAAGAACCCCTCTTATCGGCGCATCTCTCGAAAGCGGCCACGTCGTCCTGTTGCGTCCCACCGAGTGCCCGACGAGCCCCGCTGGGGAAGGCGACGAAAAAACCGGCGAGGAAAGCTGAGGATTTGGGGTTTCGGCGATTTGGGATTTTTCAAAACATGCATCGCAATTTCTTGAAAAATCAAGCCACATATTGCACACACTCACCTATTCACTGAGAATTTTTGTCTCATTCCACCTATTTTGTATTTTGAAACCCCCCTCCCCCCAGACGAGGAGCAACCATGGTGGAAGAGGCTAACTCTGAAGAAGAATTTACCAACTGAAGCATGGCCTCCTTATTGTCAACATAGTCTTAAATAAAAGTTATTTTCGGGATGTAATAAAATTAGGACTTAATGTTATTGATTGTCATTTGGTACTTGTTTTATTTCGAGACTATTCCGCTGCCAGTTTGTAATTTATATTTATTCAGACCATGTTGTATGACTTGTATCCCGATTATCAAACTTATTCTCACCGGACTAAGTTTGAATTTTTATTTTATATCCTTGTTATTATTTTTATTATTCATTGTTCATCATATTACTGCTTGACGTTGCGTCCCCGTCCAACTCGGTGTGGGGGGCGTGACAAGATCACATGATATAACAATATGGCTTGGTCAAAGATATNGTATTTATTGTCACTTTTCATGATTGGTTAAGTACTTTAATTTATATGTTGACCTTATTAATATTATATGTGCTTATATGTGTATTAGGTTTATATGAGTATCTTGTCGTCTTCTACGCTTTGTTTGATGCGTTTTGACGAGAGTATTATTATAGGTTGGACCCCATCTCTACTCTTCTGTTCTATTTGACGTATGAGAGGAGTCGTGTAGAGGTTCTAGAAGAGACACTACAACTGTGGATGAACGATTGGGAGAACAAACACCCGATGCTAGTCACGCAGGTGGAGCACGTTCACGATTTGGAGCAGCAGCTTACGGAGGCCCAACAAATCGTAGGGATGCACTCCTCTTACTGTCAGGAATTGTTTAATCAGCTTGAGGGTAGCAAGGTGATGATTCAACAACTGGAGGCACAGATGAATCAGGTAGAACACCATGCTGTTCATTACTACTAGCAACATCAGATGGAATAAGAACGTTGTGAAGATATGAAGCATGAGCTATTTGATAAGGAACATCAGATAACAGAACTGGATAGTAAAGTGAAGAATTTGGAACTCGAACTCAAAGTGAAGGATGATGCAATGGCTAAGATTGAAGCAAAGAATCAAAGGCTTCGCCGAAGGGTCTCTTTAGGAGGACAGCGGATTGACATTCTTGAATGTCAACTTGCCGCAGAGAGACTCGTCTCCCAGCAACCTACCACTTCGATGGGACCTCAGCCTGCACACCAGCGCCATGTGATCACAGTAGACAGTTCTATGGAGGACCCAGAGGAGGACATGATGGAGTTAGAGGACGATTGACCAACCAAGAGTTGCTTTGTTAATAGGATCATTATTTTTACTACTTGCTTGATTATCGCACCCATGGACGATGTTGTTTGTTGACTCATGTTTTGGATGGTATTATTGTGACTTTTTTTTGGATGGTATTATTCTGACTTTTTTTGGACGGTATTATTATTGATAGATCCTTGGACAGGGTAATTTTCAAGTGTTTTCCCTGTCCATGTCGATGTTAATGTCTATGTTATGTCCATATTATGATTATATGTGAATGCAAATAATTATCATAAATCACATTTAAGCTAATACAAACGCATCTACTTGTAGTGGTTCTTCATTGAACATTAGAGCTTAATTGACCGCACGTCGTTACACGCAAAATTTAGATATATAAATTTTCCTCGTCTAACCCCTACTAACTAGAAGTAGTGGCGAGCAAGGGTCGGTCCCACAGGGAGTGTGGTATAAACCGTGATTATTTTGTATTAATTAGATTTAAGCGAAAATGGGGGTAAAACGAACTACTAGCAAAACGATAAATTAAACTAGAACCAGAGATGAATGATTAAAATGCAAATATGATGAAATTGAGAATAAACAAATAATCTAGAAAAGATGAGAATGAAATCGGTCTCAGGTCTGTCTACAACCTCGAATAACGAGCCCAATTAATGTATTTATCGAATTTCACTCGTCTTCTAAAACTGTCGGTCCTAGATAGCAATAGGCTCTGCTACCCGAATTTTCCCTTAATTTTTACTTAATCGAAATAGGCTCTTCAATTAATTCTAAGTAGCGAACAACTCGGAATAAGCTCTCCTAATTTAATCCACTAGTTGCATTATAATCTAGGAAAATAGATCGATCTAAGCCACAAACACATAAGCTCGGTTCATGTAACTTATGTTGTGCTATCCCTAACAATGCACGACTGTTAGTTGCTACAACTGAATTAAGAACTACGACAATTACGGAGCGAAGCCTCAACTCTAGCAATTAACATGCAATTCCTAACTTAGGTGATCAAGCAAAATTAAAAATCACACATTATGACATGAAACTAGAATAACACAAACAATTTTATATGACGAGTAAAACGAAATAAAATGCATTAATCAAACATAGTCATCGAGGGTTTAACGTCCCTAGAACCGAATAAACGTTTAGCTACACATAGCTAAAGAATCAAAACAAAAATAATAAGTCATGGTTTTAAAATAAAATAAAGTAAAACAAATAAATAAACCCAAACTCCCTTAAGAGCACAATAATCACGACCAAATTAATGCTTAGCAGCCACAATTGTTCTTGATCTCCAATGTCACTCACGGCCTTTCTCCACTTCCAGGAAATTATTTCCTCCCCATCCCTTTATCTAACTAAAACCAGCCAAGCATATTCAGAGTCCAACTTGACTCCAATTCCTCTCTCAGCATGAATATTCATTATTTTCCTCTGTTCATTTATTTCCCACGCATAAGTCTCCAATAGAATTAAGAGTCCCACCAGGTTCAATTTCTTTTGTGCCACGGTCAAATCCACCAATTGAGAGTCAACTTCTTAGCCTCTTTTATTTAAATCCTTGGCATGATAAGTGTATTTCCACATCCAGTCCACATATGTTATTGTGTATATTTGTGTATTTACCTTATTAGCCTTAGGTTGTTCGTAGCCCTAATTTTGTGTATATATTCTTGATTTATGGAGAGTTGTATCATCCAATTGAGATGATCTTCAGTATAATATTCGTCTCATCTGTTTCATATCATGGCATCAGAGCCTAATTTTTTTTTCGGATCACAAATTTTTCTCGTCGAATTTGATCGCTCCTATCCATTCAGATTGATATTATTTGTGAAGGGAGCAAGTTGCTATCAGTCCGCATATTCCATTTAAAAAAAATAAAAAAAATTGTTCAAGCTTCAAGGCCGCTGCTCAATTCCATTGTGATTGTGATTTGGTTTTCTCATCAAGGCCTCAATTCAAGAATCGCGTGTTTATTTAAAGAAAAAAAAAAGAACGGAAAAGTCCAAAATTGCGGCCAGCTTTTGTGTTCCCATTTGATCTCTCGGCGGACTTCAACATCGGATTGTGTAGCTATTTGAGTTTTGATCTTTAAAAAAAAAAAATCAAGGCTGCTGCCTGTTTATTTCAAATATTGATTTGTCATGGTTGTGTTTGCGACATCTGATTCTGACACCAGTGGTGGCCGCGGTTATAATTCTGGTGGTGGCCGCTGTGGTGGAGCTCGCGACAAGAGTGGTGCTCGTACGAATGCGGCGTTCTCCAGTGGGATTGGTGATTCGTTTGTTGCCGGTTATGGTGGCTCTTCTACAGCTACTGCAGTTTTGAGTGATTCTGATCGTTTTGCACTTGGTGGTTTAACCAATGAACAATGGACTCACTTGTGTTTTTGGTTAATTCCGCTAAACAAAATATTCCATTGTCTGGTATGAGTGGTTTATTTGATTGGATGTACGATTGTGGGCAACTCATCATATGACAGGGTTCCTGGAGTTTATTTCTGATGTTCGAGATATTCCCGCCCGTCCTGTTCAATTGCCTAATGGTTCCTTAACTATGGCTAGCAAGGCTGGGACTATTTATTTGGGATCTCATATCACTCTTTATGATGTTTTATACGTTCCAAGCCTTCGGTGCAGCTTGATTTCACTATATCAATTGTTGGATCGTTCCGACTGCACTGCTCAGTTTACTAGCAAATTCTGTGTTATTCAGGACCGCTCTTCGCGGAAGGTGATTGGCGCGGGTGAGCAATTGGGGGGTCTCTACTTCTTTCGAGGGACTGTTTCCACGGCAGTTTCTTGTGTTCGGAAAGTTTCTGTCGATGTGTGGCATCAACGTTTGGGTCATCCTTCTGCTCAAGTATTATCCCAGGTTCCTGTTATTGACTCTAGTTCTCGTACTTTGCATAAATCGTGTGATGCTTGTTTTCGTGCTAAACAACATCGTCGTAGTTTTCCTATCAGTCAGACTGTTAGTCATGAGACTTTTCATTTGATTCATTGTGATTTGTGGGGTCCGTATCGTGTTCCGTCTTTTTGTGGTGCACGATATTTTTTGACTATTGTGGATGATTGTTCTCGTGGAATATGGGTTTATTTATTGAATGATAAGACGGAGGTTGCTTCCACATTGCTGAATTTTTTTTGCTATGATTAAGCGACAATTTGATAAATCAATGCGTGTTGTTCGTAGTGATAATGGAAGCGAGTTCATGTGCTTGGCCTCTTATTTTCCTCGTCAAGGGATTTTCATGAGACTTCTTGCGTAGGCACCCCTCAGCAAAATGGGTGTGTGGAATGTAAACATCAGTATATTCTCAATGTAGCTCGTGCTTTGTGTTTCCAGGCTCATCTACCTCTTCCTTTTTAGGGTCATTGTGTTTTGACTGCGGTCTATCTGATAAATCGGACTCCTTCCTCGGTTTTACATGGTAAAACACCATATGAGATTCTTTATGGTTCGGCTCCTTCGTTGTCTCATTTACGGGTTTTTGGTTGCCTTTGCTATGCTCATAACCAAGATCGTAATGGTGATAAGTTTGCTGCTCGGAGTCGTCGTTGTCTATTTGTTGGTTACCTTTTTGGAAAAAAGGGGTGGAGTTTGTATGATTTGGATCGTCAGATTTTCTTTGTCTCTCGTGATGTGGAGTTTCTTGAGACTGAATTCCCATATCGATCAGACTCGTCTCAACCAGATTCTTTGTCACCGCCTCTTGTTGTGCCGGTTTCTTTTGCGTCAGATGAGGATGAGGATCTTCCGGTTGTCTCTTTGCCTCATGTTTCTCCTGATACTGGGTCTTCTTCTACTGTTATGGACACCTCTGACGATTGGGGGGGTTCTGTTATCATTACCCCTCCCACTCTTCTGGTGGAGCCCTTGGGTCGTGGTCATCGGACTAAGGTTCCTTCCACTCGACTGAAGGATTTTGTGGTTGACACTGTTCGACCCTTGACTGTACCTCCCACTACTTCTCCCTGGTCGTCTTCATCCTCCGGTACCCCTTATCCCATAGCACATTACGTTTCTTGTGAGTCATTCTCTCCAGCTCATCGATTTTTTTTTGCTGCTAAGCCTCGCACTTTTGCGGAGGCTATGACCGATCCTCGCTGGCGAGCCGCTATGCAGGATGAGATTCGTGCCTTGGAGAATAATGGCACGTGGGATGTAGTTACTCTTCCATCTGGGAAGCGTGCGATTGGGTGCAAGTGGGTCTTTAAGATCAAGCATAAGTCCGACGGTTCTGTTGAGCGCTATAAAGCGCGTCTGGTGATTTTGGGCAATAATCAGGTGGAAGGTCTTGACTATCATGAGACGTTTGCTCCCGTCGCCAAAATGGTTACAGTCCGGTTATTCTTAGCTGTGGCTGCTGCTAAGCATTGGGAAGTTCACGAGATGGATGTTCACAATGCTTTTCTTCATGGTGATTTGGCTGAGGAGGTTTACATGAAGTTTCCCCCTGGTTTTCGTTCTGGCGTTGATGGGTAGGTTTGCCGTCTTCGTCGTTTCCTCTATGGCTTGAAGCAGGCTCTCCGCTGCTGGTTTGCCAAGCTGTCTACGGCTTTGAAGCAGTATGGTTTTTTTCAGTCCTATCATGACTGCTCTCTTTTTACACTGCATCGTGTTCTGTCCATCTACAGGTCATAGTCTATGCAGATGATCTAATTGTTTCCGGGAATGATACCACATCAATTGCGGCCTTCAAGAGTTACCTGAGTCGTTTTCACATGAAGGATCTTGGGTTGCTTAAGTATTTTCTGGGTATCGAGGTTGCCCGGAGTTCTTCTGGCTTCTTTGTCACACCCCGCCTTACTACTAGCTTTGAAAATCAGAGTAAAATTTTTGTTTTTATTTTCGAAAGAACGTGCGAGCTGGGTTTTCGAAAATACTGACTTATTGCGGGATGTGGCAGATAAAAACTTAAACTGAAACTTGGGCTTGCCCACAGACATAATAAAACATGCAACCAAACTGTCCGCTCGCGGATTATGGAA